CCTTTTTACATTTTAAACCATTTCGGAATCCCTTTCTCGGTAAAATAAAATGCAACACCTTTGAGAATAGTAAGCCTGATGAATTCGTGGGAAAAATTAACATTTTCCTATAATCATGAAACTATCTAAATCCCAATCCTCATTAAAGCGATACAAAACTCACCAAATTCTTCTTTTATCATCCGTAATGAACTTTGCTTAATCCCTTAGATAATTCAACTCAGTACTTGGATAAAAGGAAAGATTTAGCGTATTTCGATCGGATGACATTTCTTTAATAAAGGTGATGAGAGTTAATGAATAGCGTTTATCTTAACAGCTGCAAGGGCCCATCTTGTTCAGCATACTCTTTTGTACAGATTTTAAATATTCATCATTAAAACGTCAGCTAAAATTTGAATGACCGAATTCTATAAAACTAGTCGCCGATGCATTAAAAAAAGCTCACTTTCGTTATAAATTTGTAAAAGTGGAAGTTCTTTTCTTCGGAAAGGGATATCTCTTTCTGACTAAAACAAATATCTTCTGTGAAATATGAAGTTAACAAACAGTAATCATGTTTAAAATCTGATTAAACAATACGAATTGTGAGCAAAGCAAATACGGACCTCTGAAAACAGAGGTGGGATCAGGTGCCATGAAGGGGTAAGAATCCCCTGTTGTCCGGTCACACCCGCTCCTTATCATAATCGGATAAACATAAAAACAGTACACAATTTAGTTTGAAAACAATGGCCTAACAGTTTGATGAGAGACGACAGTCAACATTCGACCTATACACATGTACTCTGAGGTTGATATAAAAAGATACTTTTAAATTAGTTTCTCCTTGTCTTTTCGGGTACTAATTTTTCCCCATTATTAGCAGCCCTGTTTTTGTATTCATTTGAAGCAGAAGTTATTTAAAAAACTTCTACATGAAAAGAAAAAGTCTCTCGTTGTGGCCTTCAATTCGACATTTGAATATACATGTATATATTTTTCTGTAGAGAAAGGCTTTGATTGCAATCTGATAAATAATTTTTTGATAAAAGTGATGACTTCAACTTTTCTATCGTCAACTTCCCTTATTTATGAAGCATTATACCATTATCACCTGCATATCTAGTTTATATCTCCCAGATGACTCGATACACAAGAGCATGTTCTACGCACGAGCACTTTGTAAAACGAGGTATGCTATTGACGAATAATCTGATGTTACAAGGATACGAACAATCCCGTTTAAAGTCAACATTTCACAAATGCTATGGTCGATACAATGACATTGTTTGCAAATAAATAGAGGATATTCAATGTTTTGTAGATGAATATGGAATTTATTTCACGAGTGGGACAGGATTTTTTGATATTTTCACGAGTGCGAAGCACGAGTGAAAATATCGAAAAATCCTGTCTCACGAGTGAAATAAATTCCATATTCATCTACAAAACATTGAATTTTCTGTTTATTACATTTTCTTTGATTTTTACTCTGCCTCTGTCTTTTCATAACACAGTGTCATAGGCTTGACGTCATAGTTGAGCGGTTGAGACGTCATAGCTTAGCAGTTGTGTGATTGAAAACATTACATAGCATGGATTTTAGCAACATATTTGGGAGGAAATTTGCAGTTTTAGGTCTATCAAGATGCTTAGTTACTATCTCTATCTTATGACAGGTCAGACTTTATTTTTTACTTACTTTGATATCCTTTCACACTGTGAGAGAATATCATTTTGATATCCTTTCACACTGTGAGAGAATATCACTTTTATTCAATAAATAAATCACAGTATTTCATTGTTGAAAATGTAATAAAATCTGTCGTTAAGTGGAATGCTGACTAGCGTCTTTCATATACATTGTTAAGCCATCATTTTCATAACTTATTGTCTACGGATTTTTTGGACCTTGTTTTTGATTGGTTGAAAGCATGTGACTTGTCAGACAGAATACAGCATGTCACAATAGCCTAATGGTGGGCGCTCGCTTCGTGATCGGGAGGTTTCGATTCTCGTTTGTTGCTCTGCACCAAACCTAAATCGTAAAACATAGGTAGTGACTGTTCCTTCGTCAAGCGCCCGGAATTAGAAGTGAAGATCACAGGTCTTTCGGACGAGACCTTAAAAAACGAAGTCCCGTGTCACGGTAGGCGTTGGCACTACAAAGAACCCTCACTGCCCAATGGCCCTAAGTTTCGAGTATAGGTCTAAATTTGAAGCCCTTCACGTTGATGTCTTTATATTAGTGAAAAATTCTCAAATGGGACGTTAAACAACATTCAATCTGACTCCATCTGACGTCAAATCTGGCTTATGATTTTCTTATTTATACAGTATGATTCATAAGATGCAAGTCAATCTTACAAATCAGACCGTTATTAAACATTCAATGGCGATGGAATTCATGCGGCTCCGCCCATGCAGCATTACGCGATCATTGAGAATGGAAGTGACAATTACTCTATACGAGGATCGTTACCGATACACATTGTATAAAATTCTTATTTAAAGCACATTTAGTTTACATTGAACTCCTTATCTAATATCACTGCCCTAAATGAAAAAAATATTAATATAGAACATGTAGAAAGTACAGAGAAATTCACTATAGCAGGATACCCATTTCCCTACCCAATCTGGGTTGAACTCTCGACCTACGGAATCTGTCTCCTAGCAGTACAGGAACAGTGCGCTAGACCACTCGATCATCTGGGCAAGTTAATAAACTTAACATTGCTTTGAATGGCGATGACTAAAATTACAATAGCTGTATTTCACATTCATTCTCAACGACCGTGTAATGTAAGGCGGAGTTGCAAGAATTCCATCGACATCGAAAGTTTATTAACGTGTACCATGACTCGAGACCTCGGTTTTTAAAGGTCTCATCCGAAAGACCAGTGACTTTCACTTCTAGTCCTGGGCGCTTAGCGAAGAAACAGTGGCTACCTTTATGAAACATCTTAAGTTTGACACGGAGACGGGAACAAGGATCGAGCCTTGGACCTTCCGATCACAAAGAGAGCGCCCTAGCACTACCGCAACCGGATTAAATAAAGAAAGAAACAATAAGTTCAAAGGATCCTTTCGAAAGAGAAACATACGTATTTTAGCAAAAACATACATTTTCGAAATATTCAAGTTTTAGAGACCAACGGATCAGGGAAATGAGATATCTTTAGAAAAAAAAAAAAAAAAAAAAACTTCAGAGACCTCTTTCGAAAAAAAGACATGTTTTAGCAAAACATATTAACTTTTGTAAAATGCTTAATAAATGAGATCTCCAAATTATAACGTCACTTTTGACCGCAACAAATGCAAAAGAGTCCAGTGCAAAGATTTGGTAGAATTATTGTCATAAAAGTCATATTTTAGTTGTAAAAATTTATTTTAGCGAAGAGAGATATGTTTTGTAAAACATAAAGTAAAACATGAAGTTATCTAAAAATACTTTCTACTCGGAAAGAAGATAATCATTTCTCATATTAGACCTTATGAGAATATTTGTTTTTCTTTGTTACAGTATGTGATTTTCTTTATCTTTTTTTTTTTTTTTTTTTGGGGGGGGGGGAGGTTAGGATTAGGGTTAGGGTTATTTCTCGTACAGAAAGATACTCGTATATATGTCACAAAAGAGATAATTATCTCTGTTTATTAGAAAGACAATATTCTGTGAATAAATTATAAAACGATTTAAAGCATGACGTATATATTTAGAGTGTAATTACAAATATAAATAATAGAATATTTTTTATGTTTATTATATATTTCAAGATAGGGCATCAGAAAAAAATGTTCAGAGACAGACAAATTTCAAAGGATGTCCAGTTTGATATTCGCCGTTAAATGTTTCTTATTATTAAAGTTTATATTTTGAAAAACTCGAAAGTTTTTTGTTTTTTTTTTTTCAAACAAATTCAACTAATGCTCACAATGAGGATCAACTAATACGCAGCTCGTTCATTCATGTAATTGTTTTTCCTCCATTACAATCCTGAAACATGTGAAGTGGATATTTCTGAGACTATGGAAAAAATTGTAATAAAATGATGCTGCAGAAAGTTCATAACAGGAGAAAACTGTTAGAACAAGAATGGCTTGTAATGGGGACGATCTCTGGAGACATCTTTGAACATGATTTACAAAAGGAATCGGATAATCCGCAAAAAGTTATCTAAATAAGATTTTACGAAGTTAGAATCAAATTGATTCTTGGCTAAAATAAAAAAAAATCCAGAGTTACAGTAGAATTCCATGGAATGTTATCTAATTCACTTGGGAATTCTTTTAATTTTGTAAAACGCCGATTGCTCTAGTGAAGAATTGACACAGCATTCTCATTTGTTAAGATATATCGCAAAATTCAGATCATATTATCTACAAAAAACCTAGCGAGATATAATTAGATTTCGAAGCATTCCGTAACGGACATGGTTACAACGTTTACGATAATTAAGCGTACGTCTTGCTGGTTTCTAATCATAAACCTAAGATAAACATGTGGAGTTGCATCATAAAACATGAGATCCGCACAGATTAGTTAGAATCAAGTAACACAGCAGCATCAAAACATGACGTATTTATATTGTACCAATAAAGAGATAGATATATGTTCAATTTGAATAAAAAATCAAGGCCGTAGGCATCAATATTTTATCTGGGGGTTTCACTGCAAGGTATGCTATGTAAATTATGAATTTTTAATACAACGGTTGTTATTTTCTGTACAAGTGCATTGTCGCAAAAGAATAACAGATAAATACAATATTGATTAAGAAAATATCAGAAAGTAAACTTGTGTTGCAAATCATTCTAAAATAAATTAAATTCCTTAGTTTTTTCCTGAATCATTTATTGATTGCCCTTGTCAAAGCTTTGCAAGGGGAGAAATTTGAATAATGATGTTGATGACTGCCTTAGAATTTTAAGACCAAGTTTTAGTGATATTTATTCCCATTTCAAATTGTATTCTTTGATGTACATTCCAGGCTTATGGAGAAGAACAGAGAATTGTTCTAATAGACACCCTCGGATTTTTCTACCACGTGTACAAAGTCTCAAGATTGATAAAGGATTACACCCTTGTTATAGATTGTGGTTCATGGAATACTGCAGATGTACATTTGCTCCAAGGCACGTCTGCTACCATTGATATAAATATATTTTCCCGCCAATTTATCGATACATTCACACGCGCTCTCAATACTTTTACGAGCTCTCACAAATACAAGTGTTTTCTGTTACAACCCAAAGATATTTCACATCTGAACAGTCGTCACAATGACTCTGGCAGGGGTGACAGTCTTTCCATGGGCGGAATACATGGTAACTTGTAGGAATTCTGGGACGGGTGTAGGGCAAACGCAGACGATTTTGTCAAATGCAGGGATTGATATGGACCACGTGCTTTATCTCTCTCCAGAGACAGAGGAGCTTAAAAACTTTCTGGACATACATCAGTAAGTAAACTCGTCGTTTTTCTCTCCTCTAACTTAAGCTTTATTAAGGCTTGCCTATAAAGACCATCTTAAACTAAGCTGAACATTTCAAAAAGAAATTTCAATCTACACCGTATGATTTTTTTTTTTTTTTTTTTTTTTTTTAATAAAACTCAGTTTTCAAAATGAACAGAGATATTCTTTTAATAGCAACTTTAAACATGTTCAGAGTCCATTACTAACATTTGTAACAATGTGGAAAGGTGACACTCACAGTTTCTTTATAAGAAATTTAAAAAATATTCAAAAGCAATAATTTTATTCATTCATTTAAACAAAAATATAAGCAAATATGAATTGAAATGAAATAAAAGAGATAGATCCTAGTAACATATAGTAATAAAACCAAAATGGAATTTCTCATTACTTTTCTGAATATTTTTCACCTGTGTCTACCTTTTTACAGAGTGCATTTGTACATAAATTGAAAGCAATTTTTAAAGGCAGAAGTGTGGTCCTAATTGCGACTTTTAACAAGTTCTAAATTTAATCTAAGAATGAAGCGTTGCTATGAAAATTATTTCAGAAAAAAGAAAGAAAAGCCTGAAAACTATTCCGTTTCCTTAGATACGACCCTTGCTTATACATTCCCAAAACTTTTTAAATGATATCTATAAACAACTAACCCGACTTTCAGTTTTTGCTACAAACAATCCCTAACTGGATGTAAGAAGTTGCGACATACGATTCGATTTCACATGTACTATGAATAAAAAAAAATTGAACATTTTCCCTTCTGGTTGCCATAGCAATGATATTCTTGCTCAATATATCATATTCAACTTTAGCTCTGTTAAGTTAGTACACTTTTTGGTGATTGACATTTTTTGATTAAAAAGTAACTAAATTTTATAACCACTGCTATGTTTCCTCCATGGAAGATATAGCAATAACTTTTGATTTTTTTATGCCATCTTCGTTACCAGCTCTTAAACTTCGGATATATTTTTGTCGGAATTGATTCTCCATGTCTTATGGCAGAATTAAACTTAACCACAAATTGTGTGAGGCTATGCTGTGTTACCATGGCAACCATGAAATATGTTCTTATTTCTAGAATAATTTTGATATGATTAAAGTATGTTCAAATATTTGTATCGTTTCTCTACTCTTGGCAAATGATTTTGGTTATGTAACACTTAGCAATAGTGAATACGGAGCATTTTTCAGCATATAAATCATGTGTCAAATGTCTCCATAGCTACCACCTATATATTCCGAATATTTCTTTTATAACATAGTTGCAAAGGTGAAATATGACGATAACGAACAGTATTCAAGCTCAAAAGTCCATTGGAGCAATTCAAATTGGGAACAGAGCAAACACGGGCTTCTAAAAACATCAGAGGTGGGATCATCTGCCATGGAGGAGTAAACATCCCTGTCGACCGATCACACCCTGTCATTTTCCTTGTCATGATAAGACAAATGAAAAAAATGTATAGACAATTTCAGGGTAAAAATAATGGCCTTACAATTTGTATGAAAAACATCAGTCAACATTCGACTAAACGATAGATTGTATTTGCTAAAAAGGTCATTGTTGAGGACATATGCTATAGTCTTTTTTTCTAAAAGGCATGAAAATACCAGCTAAATCTATGTTCATATTAGTAAAAAAATAAGTTTAACTGTATAGAGTTTTATTTTCTGATCTCAGATTTTTAATATGTCCAATAAAGTGATAAAAATTGTATATAATTATAAAGCTGGTTGCAAATACGAAAAGAGGAACATGATAGAAAGTACACATTTCTTTACATTTAAGAAAGAAATATGCATTATTTACAACCATGTCTTAAAAATATACTTTTCCATACATCCATTTTTCATTTGTAGCATGTGTCCTTAAGGTCAATAAAAATTTTAAAATAGCTGAAATTAAATCTCATTTTTCAAATTTTACTTTGTGTTCCCACGGCAACCAGAGCACATAGCAACCGAAAATTTTGTTAATTTTCAAGTCATGATACATATATTGATCAAATTTTTGTCAAAATCACTGACCATGCATGCTCAAAAAGTTAAGTATATATATATATATATATATATATATATATATATATATATATATATATATATATATATATATATATATATATATATATATCTATATATATATATATATATATATATATATATATATATATATATATATATATATATATATATATATATATATATATATAAACGAAGATTTCTAATTATGTCACCAAAAATAAAAATTATACAGCGCTTCTTACTAATTTGAGATAAGATTCATTTTATTATTCATCGCTGAAAGACAGACATTATTTGCATTTTCGTTGAAAACGCATGTGTTATATTGTATTCTGTATTCATGGCATCATTAGATCACTGAACAGAAATGATTCTATTTTAATGGATTATTGATCAAATAAAAATGCAGACTTATTTACATATGTAAAGACTCTAATTTAATCTTCCATTTAATCAAATACACATCATGCAAATATTGCTTCCCTATAAAGTTTTCCAATTATTGGTTTATCAAGAATTTTCCCTGCTGTACGCTATATTTGTCAAGCGTAGCACATATACAGTACTAGCTAGTTATATCTCCAGGATTGAACGTCTGGAATGACGGTGGTGTGTACAGATTCTAGGAACAATCTAAACTGGTAAATCATGTGTTTGATGCATCGTAAAAGCAAAATTGGTAGCAGAGTCAGGTGATTAATCATCGGGGGAGTTTTCTTATTGTGTTGAGTTGTTCAGTTGCAATTAGTCTCTTCCCTACATTCCCCCAAAGAAATGATAACTCTATTTGACGAATGAGAGATTCAGTAAATTAAATTATACATGCCTTTTGGGAGAGCTATGTAATTTTTGCTGTGTATTAACAATTGTTTCAGAAACTACAAATATGGGGATGATTTTGAATGTAGACAAAAGAATATATATCTCTGACAGAATCTGGTCAATAACACTACGGCAGGCTATCTGCTGCCAGGAGCAATAAAAAAAACTGTTCATTCTAAGCTTCCATATATAATAAAATACCCAATACACACACAAAAGTATCAGTAAAAATTGCATGAATATAATTATTGTTTGAAATTGTTGTATCCTGTTTACAGCATTCCCTGGAGATAAAATGCTATGTTTTATAGAGACTTGAAATACTAATATAACAGTGAAAATGAGCATAGGCAGCAAATGATAATTATGTTCGTTGGGATTGCACTAACTAAATTACTGAAACAAATGCATTTAGTTACTAATTGGTTGTGGGAGTAAACAATATAAATAAATTCTTCCATTATTCACGTTTTTCTCCCCAGAATGGGATACATACTTCGTATTCAGACGATGGATGACTTGAATGACTTGGCGGTGTTATTATATGGAAAACCTCTGCTGATGAGAATCAACCTCGTCCATACTGAAGTCTCCAGCAAGTACAGTGCCGACAAAATTTCAATCTGGGAAGGTTGTTCATTATCGTTTTCAAATAAAGCATGCATTAATCATTACCTTTTTCGCCATCTTGTCATTCAAAACGATACAGTGAACCCTCTGTAACAATCTAATAATCGATTTCTAGTAGGAATGTAGCGTTTTAATAATAGTTTTTACATGGTAATGGATTTGTTTCTTTTCCATTATTTTTTCAGGTGATTTTGCTTGTGTTCTAAACACAGGTCACCGTCAAGTGCGATCTCAACTCGACTGGGCACTAAAACAAGCCGAGACTCACTTAAATAAAGGAAATAGATTTAGTATAGAGGTAATGAACCGAATTCTAACGTAATCAAAGATTTTTCAGACTAGTAAGATAAAAAAAAAACAGAAACGGCAAACAAGTAATTTTATCATCATTAATTGATTGAATGCTTCTGACTTAAAACGTTGGAAGTGTATCACGGATTGAACTTTTTTTGATTTGGAGGGAGGGGTGATTTGGAGTAAATGAAATATTAAGATAACGAACAGTATTCAAGCTCAAAGGTTCATTAGATAAATATAAATTTGGAGCAGAGCAAACACGGATCTAAAAAACCTCAGTGGTGGAATTAGGTGACATTGAGGAGTAAGCATCCTCTGTCGACCGGTCACACCCGCCGTGTAACTCTTTGTCATAATTAGACAAACGGAAAAATTAGGTAGACAACTCAGTGTGAAAACAATACCCTATCAATTTGTATAAAAAAAAAATCAGTCAAAATTCGACTTAACGGTATATTGTATTTACCAACAAAGTCATTGTATTTGCGAAATGTTGACTTTACGGTAAACAAATAATGATGACAATTTTTTTATTATAATCTTAAATTAATTCATGTTTTTTTTTATTTTCAAAAATTTAAACATTTAAACAAACATTCTAGTAGTAAAAAAGATCTTTTATTTGTCTTTTGTCATCAGATAGAGCTTGGGGACGTTGTGGAGGGTTGGTACCTACAGAGCCTTGATTTATTTTCCGGTTGTGACGACTTCCACTCAACAAAGACCAGAAATTCCAGACTTATCCTGACCAATCATACTCCTTTTAACCACTGCTTTGACTGTCGGCCAAAATGGTGGCTCTGCTTGGGCCCATGCTGGCTCTTCACAGCCCCCATGTATTACGTAAGTGTGTACACTGGGGAAGAACATGATTAAGTTCCGTCTTGGCTCTTCACATATAAGGCAAGGGTATACTGATAAAAATACGTTAGCTCTGTGATGTCTCTTTACGGCCCTCTTGTATTACGTAATGTGGATACTGAAGAAAGTAAAAATCATGGCCTTTCATGCTGGCTGCTCATGGCATCCATGTATTACATGAATGTATACTGAAATAAACAGGACAGCTTTTTCAAAATAAATACAAATGTCAATTTTTAATGAAGCTTTTTGTGAAATTGACAATGATGTTCCCTTTTTAATTTTGGAGTTGCAAAGATATCTTTGAATCATACTTTTGATGATACCTATTCCCCAAGATAAATGGAAGTCCAGGCTTTTGACATCATAGACAGCTGCTTCTTTCAACAAAAATGGAACACGTAAATTTACTACCCTTGTCATTAGTTATTTGAAAATTATTTTGTAAAAAAGCCTTCTAATTGTACACACAAGTACTGCTAAGTTGATATAAAAAAGATTCTTGAGTTTCTGATTGAGAATATCTGTGTAGTTTTTGGAAATCAAGTCTTCCAACAATTTGTCGGAATTACCGGGTGTACCAATTGCGCCCCGTTTTAGCAGTCTTATTTTGTATTCATATGAAGCAGAATTCATTCACATACATATATTTCTACATGAAAAGAAGATGTTCCTTGCTCGGGCCTTCAATTCAACATTTAGATATATCGACGACGTTTCATCAATTAACAATATTCATTTTCATTTCTACGTTGATTCGATATATTCCCCCTGAACGCGAAATAAAAGATACCACAGAGTATTACACATCTGTTTCATATTTAGATATATTATTAAAAAAAGGACGTTAATGGTAACTTTACAAAAAACTTTAATATAAACCTGATGACTTCAATTTTTTCTATTATCAACTTCCCTTATTTAGGTAGCAATATACCCTTATCGCCTGCATATGGAGTTTATGTCTCCCAATTGATTCGTTACGCAAGAGCATGCTCTACCTACGAACAATTTCTAAAAAGAAGCGAGCTATTGACAAACAAGTTGATGAAACAAGGATATCAACAGTCTCGTTTAAAGGTCAACATTTGGCAAATTCGATACAACGACCTAATCAGCAGATACAATCTATCATGAAGTCGAATGTTGACAGACGATTTTCATACAAATTGTTAGGTCATTACTCACTGAATTATCTACGGATTTTTTTCTGTTTTCCCGATCATGACAATGAGCACACGTCGGGTGTGACCGGTCGACAGGGGATGCTTACTCCTCCATGGCACCTGATCACACCTCTGATATTTATAGAGGTCCGTATTTGCTCTACTCCAGATTTGTATTGTTTCAATGGACTTTTGAGCTTGATTACTGCTCGTCATATCCATATTTCATTTAGACCTATTATATTAAATATTTTGCAATGATCACCCGTTTTCTCTGTAAAACTCAAACATTACGCATTTTGTAATAGTCCACACAATGATGAAAAATGTATACCAAATATAATTATAAGTTCTTTGCCTTTAAAAATCTTTGGCTATTAAGACTACTTCTCTGCTTAATAGGGAAATTACGTACAAAGAATCTACTTCATTAGTATCAAATGCATTTTATTATTTCATACGAACGATGTGTCGTAATACCCTTAATTGATTTACAAGTTAGAACCAAAAATGCAAAGTAATATAATTTCCAAGCTAGGTCACGTGATATGTAGTTTATGGTCCTCTAAACTTTCCAACAATGATCTCATGGTGTATTACCAAGAAGAATCTGTAAGTTATTTCTGGATATCTGAATAGGAATTTAAAGTCTAAGCGTTTTCTGACTTCTGTAAGAATCGTCAGATGTAAAGTGCTGGGAAATCAATGGGAAATGTTGATTAAACTTGTTTTATGATCCCCCCGGTCTGATAACGGTAGAAAGCGAACCATTTTATATACTTGATGGGGTAATAGTCACGTGTTATTTGATACTTTGGGATTTATGTACATAATAGATAATATATCGGAGCATAATATTACTACATTTAGATGACTAGATTCTAACGCTTGGAAATTTTGGATATTGTTTGCGAACATATCATCCTTGCTAAATATATTTTTTTTTGTTTAAGTCTGAAATCAAACTCCAGATTTTGAGTAAATCAACTAAATCTTATCTTATAAAATGTTTTCGAAAGCTTTTAGAGGATTGAAAGGGTGATTAAGCCAATTTCATCCCTGTTCAAGATAAATAGATCAAGAGGAGATAAAAAGAGTAAGATACATTTCATTCAGAATTTCAGATACCGAACTATTGAAAATATGTTTTCACAGTTAAAAAAATCTTTAACGCGTTGAAAATAAACTCACATGTATTACTTTTGTATTTGCTGGTAAAATATAACCAAGTTATTGAAGAATGATCTTAATCACAAATTTCTAGGACAGAAACTGTGTAAGAATGAGAGAATTTCATTACTTTTTGTCATTTTCCTAGGTAAAGAAAAAATCACTAAAATTTGTTCAATTTATGAGCATTTTAGAACTATCCCGTGACTCAGCTACGTGGAATCCAATGTCCTTCCAATAATCTCAGTTGTTTGATAATTTCCATCATTGGTTTTAATAGCACATTTTTAGTTGGGTATAAAAAAAAACCTAATTACCTTCCTTTCATCATTTGTAGAAATTTTGTCTTTGATATGTTCTGGAACAAATGACAATTAACAGAAAATTTTCCAAAGACAAACCATGAAGGAAAGAATGAAAAGTTAACATTCTACTCCCACAATTTGTAAGGAGTGTTATTTCACACATCTATGTGTTTTAAAATGTCGTCACAAAGACGTGTTTGTCATTATGCCATCTAGTCTTATGAAGTAAACAGGACGAATATCAAATTAATGGCTTTTTAAAATTCAATTAGAATAAGTCCTTTGCAACAGAAAATAATGCTATCTTTACAGAGAGAGAGAGAGAGAGAGTTACATTTCATTTTTCGTGACTCATTTCAAATTTCTATTTCAGGTATACAGACGACTGACATGTACTGATTTAAAACTGAAAATAAAAGCTCCCGTGACGTCACTTCCAGGCGCAAGACGGAAAAGCATGACTTCTGGTTAGTTTAAACTACAATAGATGAAAATTACTCCATTTTAGTGTATATGTCAGATGTCAATTCCATTATATTGTTCTTGTAGGAATATTTATAATAATAATTCTGTTTCAACGACTTCTATGCAGAGTAGAATCTTTTATTATTATTTAATCATTTTTTTTTTTTCAAAATTGCAATCGCGTTAAACTAAGCGTTTTCAGAATGGGGAAAATTCTAATGAATGACCTGTTATCATTTCTAAAAAAAAAAAAAAAATAAAAAAAAATGATTTCAGAGGGGAAAATAAAATGTCGATTTTCAGATAGCCTGTTTAAACTTGATGCACAAGATATATGTTATAAAGTCCTTTTATTTAAGATTATTTTTTTCTTTTTAAGTAGAAAATGTATCATCTCCGTAAATTTTACAGACTCATCTCAAAGCTGTATGGTGGTCAATTACAAGAAAGAGGGAACAGTCTCCTGCAAACTTGTACAAAACTTGTCTCAGATGTCCGAACTTAGTACCTATGGATCTGTAGCGGAACAGAGCTGATAACCCTGCTAAAATATTACTGATGTTTCCACGGAAATTGAAGCACTGGTATATTTAGTATGGAAGCTCGACAAACCAACTGTGATTATTGAATACTAATGCGATGAAAAGGACATCATTTGTCCTGATAAGGGCTCTCGGCGATTATTAGTTATCTTCAATGCTGATGGCTTGTAGCAATTGAAGTAGAATTTGGCTTATGGGGAAGAAGTAAATCAGACCTCCCCTAATCCCCACGACACAACAGCAATTAATCGATGTCAACGGCCAAAGGAAGCGAGAAGAATCGATGCTGATTTACATAAAGGTTAGAGGTGAAGACTTTCATCTGCTTTTTGCTGTTTGTAGCAATAAACATTGTAAGAAAAAATAGACTGTTGAAAATGAAATTTACAAAACATGTTTGAAGTCTTCTTGGCATGTTTTAATTTCTAGGACATGTAGCTAATTTTTTCTCTAGCATATATTTTTTGTTTATAGCGATTTTGATACTTTTTTTGTGTACAAATTTGCTATATTTTGAATGTATGTTTGATGAACTCAAGATCGGTATGGTTACATATATATGTCTCAGATCAAAAATATTGATTATAAAATGAAGATATACTTAGACAAAACTGGCTCCGTATATGACTTACATTATGACCCCTGGGTCGAGGCCTCTGCTGGTGGACTGTTAGTCTCCGATGGTCTCTACAACCCAGTAGCTAAATATAAGTACTTTGGTTCTAGCTTGAAAATACGGATATATATTTAATTGCTGTGGTAAAATTTAGAAATTTATTTTAAAATTGAGGATTATCTCCCTCATTCATAGCTTTCGTAAGTTCTATGGTCGACACAATGACCTTGTCAGCAAATACAATTTATCATTGAGTCAAATGCTGACTGACGTTTTTCATACTAATTGTTAGGCCATTATTTACACACTGAATTGGCGACGGATTTTTCCGTTATTTCCCGATCATGACAAGGAGCACACGGCGGATGTGACCGGTCGGCAGGGTATACTCGCTCCTCCACCTGATCCCACCTCTGACGTTTAGAGGTCCGTGTTTGCTCTGCTCCTATTTTGTATTGTTTAATGGACTTTTGAGCTTGAATACTGTTCGTTATCTCCATATATTTCATTTTAACCACCGAACATGTATCTCTGCTGGTGGACAGTCTGTCCCCGAGAAAACTTCGTTCGGTACCTATTCATTCATGAGTACTCAGAATAACGAAATGATACTGGCAGACGCGTCGCCCAGTATAAAAAGGCGTCACTCTTGAGCCTATAAGGGACACAGACTCAAGGAGTTCATTCGGAGCCCCTCGGATAATCCTCAGGGATATTAAACATACGTCATATGTACAGTCTTCAGATTCCCAGTTTTGGTATAAAACCAATAGTTCATGCAAAAAATTGAAAGAATGTAAAGTTTCTATTAGAGATATATTCGAAGACTCCTTTTCCGATCCCATGTCTTCTATTTCAAAATGTTCTGCGAAAAACTGTAAAACCTGTGACATTTTGATAAATAACACTTTTTTTCACCAGTAATCTTACTGGACACAGCTTCTGTACCAAAACTTGGGAAAATCTGAACTGCAATTCTTCTAAAGTTGTCTACGGAATAGAATGTAATCTTTGTGGACTTATTTATGTTGGTGAAACTAAGGGATCACTCAATCAAAGAACATCAGGTCATAGATTTCAGATAAATAATGGGGGTCAGCAACTTTTATACAAATATTTTGATTTACCTGATCATTCTATTTTGTCAATGAAAATTAGAATTCTAGAAAAGATTTACCACCACACAAACAGTCCATCACTGAGTATACCTTTCCGTAGACAACGAGAAGAATTTTGGATTAGAAAGCTAGGGACAGCCCTTCCTTATGGATGTAATGACAATGTCGATAGTGTTGGAAATCTTTCCAGTCCACAGTGTAACAATGGAAATGTGATGGGACTTTTTAACCATACACAGAGACGTAAGTGTAGTCATGGGCATCGGTCTTACAATAAACTTTTAATACACGATGTCTCTTTTGATTCATTACTACCTTACGTAAAACAACAGTTAGGTCTACATAATATTCGCACCAAACTTTACTCTGTCCCTTTGAAACTTTTAAATAGTCTTCTTGAAAAGGTCAAGGAAAGTCCATTTTTTGATTCCTCGACACCAGAATATAGGCTCGGATCTGTGATTATGGATATTGCAAATCATAGGCTTTTTAACCCCCCGCGTTTTACTGAAGAAAATGCAGGTAAAACAATCCGTTTTTTCCTTAAAATTCAATATGCCAACAAAGGGATTGACGCGGTTAATATAGGTAATATTCTTAATCACGAAAGGGTCCAGTCTTGTATTCCACCATATTTCAAGTTAAAGACTACACCTTGTATTTCCTACAAATATACATCGACTATTGCTTCCAAACTTTTTAATTACAAAAAAAAACTTTACAGGGCCTGGATATCGAATATCTGAAACATAATCCTCCATCGTCTTCATGTTCTTCTTCGCCCTATAACTATAGTCCTGCTGGACACGTTATTACTGGTGACGTAAATATAGTTAATAATGAGGACCTTAGATCACTAATTTTAAAAGGTCCTAAATTTAGGGAACCCCGATCCTTCAACTGGCGTCGGAATTTCATAAATATTATGGATTCTGTAGAGGACTAAGTCAGGCGATGGGCCAGACATGAAAAAGAAGACCTTGACACTTTGTCAGAATGGATTAAATGTATCAGATGTATGTTAAAATCACGCATTAAAAGATTGAGGGGCAATATGAGAACCATCTATCCTTCTGTATTCAATAATCCAGAAGTGAAAAAATAATTAGATAGATTACATGATCAGTACGTACTGGTCCCTGCTGAAAAAGCAGGTAACAACATTGTCTTTGTTTGTAAGGCTCATTATATTAAATTATTTTAGAGGAACTTGGATTTAATTCTACAAGTGGTAATCCAACTTATACTCATAGTTCCCTTTCTAAGGAAGAAATTCTTCAAAATCATATGTCAGTTTTGAATATTTATAATATTCCAAACAACCGAAATGAATTTGAATTACCATATTTATACTGGATTCCGAAACTTCATAAAAATCATTACAAACAAAGATACATAGCGGGTTCCAGTAAATGTTCAACCAAGCCTCTTTCTTTACTCCTCACTAAGATATTAACAGTGGTGAATGAGAAAGTTCAAGAGTACTATGAAACAATATATTCGAGAAGTGGTGTAAATCAGATGTGGATACTTAAAAATTCCAAGGAACTTTTGGAAATTTGAAATCACAAGATACCAAAATCAACAGCTTAAAAACTTACGACTTTTCTACTTTATACACAACCATTCCCCACGATAAATTAAAGTCCAGGCTTTTTGATATAATTGACAGCTGCTTTTTCAATAAAAATGGAACTCGTAAATATACTTGTCATTGGTCATTTTCAAAATCATTTTGTTAAAAAACATTCTGATTGTACACACAAGTACTCTGAAGTTGACATTAAAAAGATTCTTGAGTTTCTGATTGATAATATCTATGTGGTTTTTGGAGACCAGGTCTTCCAACAATCTATTGGAATTTCCATGGGTACCAATTGCGCCCCGTTATTAGCAGACCTTTTTTTGTATTCATATGAAGCAGAATTTGTCCAAAATCTTGTACGTGAAAAGAAGAAAACATTTGCTGTGGCCTTCAACTCGACATTTAGATATATCGACGATGTATTGTCAATTAACAATGGCTATTTCCATTCTTATGTCGATACGATATATCCTGGTGAGCTTGAGATAAAAGATACCACAGAGTCTGACACATCTGTTTCATATTTGGATATTTTACTTGAAAAAGACGTTAATGGTAATCTAACAACCAAGCTGTATGATAAACGTAATGACTTTAACTTTTCAATCGTCAACTTCCCTTACTTATGCAATATACCTTCATCACCCGCATACGGGGTATATCCTTCATCACCTGCATACGGGGTATATATCTCTCAGTTGATTCGATACGCAAGAGCATGCTCTACGTACCGGTATGTACAATTTCTAAAACGAGGTAATTTATTGACAAACACGTTGATGAAACAAGAATATCACCTGTCTCGTTTAAAGTCATCATTTCGTAAGTTCTATGGTCGATACAATGACCTTGTCAGCAAATACAATTTATCATTGAGTCAAATGCTGACTGACGTTTTTCATGCTAATTGTTAGGCCATTATTTACACACTGAATTGGCGACGGATTTTTCCGTTATTTCCCGATCATGACAAGGAGCACACGGCGGATGTGACCGGTCGGCAGGGTATACTCGCTCCTCCATGGCACCTGATCCCACCTCTGATGTTTAGAGGTCCGTGTTTGCTCTGCTCCTATTTTGTATTGTTTAATGGACTTTTGAGCTTGAATACTGTTCGTTATCTCCATATATTTCATCTGATCCTTCGACGTATTTTGCACCAGTCTTTGGCACCTTCTTCAGCTCTTCAAAGTCTTTTTATTTGAATATTTTGGATTTCCATTGTTTGGCTTGAGCATCACTGAAGAGGCATAATTTGTCGAAATGCACATCTGGTGCATCAAATCTGGTACCATATATGATTTACATTAGACAGGAGGTGTCCAAGTAAGTAAAAAGAGCTTTGATATGATGAAGAAAAACATGTAACAATTAATCTTGGGAATTTTGTGAATCATTGATTTTTATTCCTAATTTTGTGCAGATTTCTATGAGGGGTATTTTGTCCATTGATTTCATTTTCCATACATCCTGATGTACAGCATACAGCTTCAACGACATACGTTTTGATTTAACTGAAGTCAAAGATTGTTAATTTAAGATGAAAGTGACAGTTTAATTTTTATTTTATGTTTGGATATAATATTCAAGATGGACAACGTCTAGAGTTTAAGTACCTTTTTATGTATATGTAAAATGTGAGTTACGCCTTGTCTGAGGACTGGTACATAATTCATATTCAGTGAGGCCATTTTTAAAAATATTTGGCTTCCCTCTCCCAGGATGAAACCAAAGGTCTCTGAGGAAACTGTAGCTCTACTGGTTTGTACTTTAAACTAAGAGAAATGTGCCACTTGGACTTGAAACTTTGTAACAGCAATAAATAGAATAATCATCCTTAGTTTAATCTCTTTTTGTGGCAAGATTTATTGCAAACAGACTAAAACTGAAGGAGGGATAGTCCTTTGAAAGAGTTTTACAGATATTTCTATTTTTAGTAACCATGGCAACATCATTCATCAAACTGGGGATAAACGATAAAGACAATTATGTATCTAAGAGAAGTGTACTTAGGAGGAGGAGGAGTGTTTTGAAAGAATTAGACAGAAATTTCTGTTTTTAGTAACCATGGCGACACTTCACCAAAATATAAAACCAATGCACAGACATATGTATATCAGTGTAGTCAACTTGCATGCCAAGTTATATTTTTAAAACGATGGCATCACCGTTCATCGAAATCAAAAACCGATAGACAGAATCATGTATTTTAGTGTAGTTTATTTGTCTGTCAAGTGATATTGAAATAAGACCTAAATTGTAGGAGGAGTAGCGGTTTGAAAGAATTTCTCAGAATTTCGATTTTTAGTAACCATGGCAACAATGTTCATTGAAATCAAAAATCGATACACAGAATTACGTATCTTAGTGTATTTAACATGCGTTCCAAGTATTTTTGAAATCAGACCAAAACTGTACGAGGAGTAGTATTTTACAGAAATTTGTATTTTTAGGAA